TATAAGAAAACAAAACACAATATACTTTGTGAACTTATGTAGTTAAAACCTTTATTACTTTTAAATTATTCGAGAGCTAAAGTGTTTCTCAGGTGGCTTGACTGAGTGGAAGAGGATTTTTGAATCCTAAAAATTACTAACTAGAGAAAAATCGCAAAGAATAGAGCAGAATGGAGGAAGGTTCTAGGGAAGGCTCAGGCCCGCAAAGGGCTGTCATGCCAATAGAAGAAGAAAGTATTCCTCTCTAGATGATTTAAAAAATACATTGGAAATAATGCTTCACTTGTTTGGATAACAATTTATTTTTGGAAAAAAAATCAAAATAATTCAATCAAATGCGTTCCAAAATATTAAAATATTTCGTTACAAACACTGAAATTAAACTACAAATTGGGGAAAAAAAGTTACCTAATATTTTTGTCTTTTTAAAATAATCATCTTCAATGCATTCAAAATTTTCATAAGCCACTCGTTAATCATAGAAAACAAATTCTAATTCTAACAAATTCTAAAAACGTATTCTAATATTTTGAGTTTTATTAATAATTTTTTAAATTATAATCTTGTTTTTTTTTAAAAAAAATAAGAAAGATAAAAAGATAAAAGATTTTAAATTATTATCTTTTTTTAAAATTAGCAAATTTTGAACTGCAATTTGATTATAAATAAATTCTTCACAAAAATATCGTTTGCATATTTGTAGACTATTTTAAATCAAGTAAGTGTTTTACTTATTTTCATTGGGCTACAAAAATAGATTATTTTAATGATTTGGAAACAGAGTCGCGTTTGCCTTCCGTTTTTATTCTAAAAGGTAAAATTTAAACTGTAATTTGATTATAAATAAATTCTTCACAAAAATATCGTTTGGATATTTGTAGATATTATTCTAAATCAAGTAAGTGCTTTCCATATTTTCATTGGGCTACGAAAATAGATTATTTTAATGATTTGAAACAGAGTCGCGTTGCCTTCCGTTATTATTCTAAAAGTTAAGTATCCTTATATAACACCTGTTCCGTTTACCCTTTCCTCTTTCGTGTCTTGGTTTGTAAAAGAAAAAAAAACGTTGATCCGAAAAGAAAAAAAAAGTCATCTCCTATATATAGCTCCAGACGGGAGATCCCAAAGCAGGAATGACGTACCAATTGGCTTTCATTGCATCATAGGCTTTAGGGGTTGCTTTTCGAATCAATAGGCAGCCAAAAGCATCGCCATGTTATAGCCCATCTGAAGCAATAAAAATTTCAATTCATATTTTATATTCTTTATTTATTTTCTAACATATATCCTCTGAATAATGATTAATAATATTTATTGAAGTTATTATTTTTTGCACTACTATTTGTGTTTAATATTAGCAATGTTCATTACGAAAAAAAGAGAAAAAGAATGCACTGAATAACTTAAGATCTAATGATCGAATTTTCACGTACGGTAAACTGACTCAATCTTAATGGTTCGAAGTTAACCTTAAATATTTTATTTAATTAGTGCAGACGATATTTGAAGTTAAGAAATCAGACTCAAACGGGTATTTTCTCTAAGTAAACAGGATTCGGATTCCTTATCTGCAAAATATGAAGGGTAGCCGCTATCTTGGAAATATGGTCCCAATATTTAGAACAGAACAGCGGTCCAAATTTTTTGGACCCTTTAATGTTAATTTCACTTTCTGCGTATTTCGCTATCTATCGAAAAAAATTTCAGAAAATTTTTTTTGACGCACAGTTACAAAATTTATTTATCCAAATATAATTTTACTTATGAAAAATAGATTTTAATAGTTATTTATAATTTTTTTCTATTATTCTTATTTAAATTTTAAATTAAAATTAAATAAAAAAAATTTCGAAATTTTTTTTTAATTGTAGGTACACAAATTTTAGCCGCTTAATTTTAATGACAAATTTCGAAATTTGGACGAGTTGCGCCTCAAGAGCGCTCGCCTCCTAATGAGGTGAAACGGGTTCGATTCCCAGCGATGGTTGGTCGATGCGGATTCTGAGCCTGGTTCTCACCGACCTCAGTGCTGGCGTGAAATATCCTCATTGGTAGACGGATCATGAGTTAGAGTACCTTTGTCCAGCCAGGCTAACCGTGGAAAGTTTTAGTAGTTTTCCTCTCCATTTAACGCAAATGTGGATTAATTCCATCAAAAAAAGTCTATTTTCTCCCGATACTTGACCCAGCAGTTCCCTTGTCTTTTGGATTGGGTTCAAAAGTACAGGACTACGGTGTTGAAATTCAGTAGACGCAAACTCAAAATTAAGTCTGCTGCTCAGCGCCGATTATATATACATAAATACTTTCTGAGACCTTCGGTGTTTCCAGAAATAGAGCGCTTGCGTCATAATGATGTGACCCAGGTTCGAATCCCAGCGGTGACTGGTTGGTGCGAAATCTTCTTCTGGCTCCCACAGACCACAAAAATATCCTCATTGGTAGACGGATCATGAGTTAGAGTCTCTTTGCCATCAGGCTAACCGTGGGAGGTTTTAGTGATTTTCCTCTCCATGTACTTCAAATGATGGTTAGTTCCATCAAAAAATCCTCCGTGAGGGTTAGTTAATCCCAATGCCTGATCCCGGAGATCCTTTGTCTTCTGGGTTGGGTTCAAAATTACAAGGCAACGGAGTGGGACATTGGTGGTTGTGAACTCAAAATTGGGTTGGCTGTTTAACGAGGCTGTAAAAGCATTTTCTGAGTTATCAAATTTAGAAAAAAAGTCGCATATTTGAAATTTAATTTCTCGATAACTATCCCCCTCCCCCGTGGACACTCTTGAGGACATTTTCGGTGGATCGCGTCAATGCTCCGGATTATTAATCACTTAGCTGATAAACCAAATTTAAGTTTTATTTAAAAATAAATAAATAAGGATGTTAATCCTCAATATCTGTCTGGTAGCTAAGAAGCTGAAGCTTCATGAGTTTTCTTGCGTGATTCTGTTCATAAGTTTTCTTGTGTGTTAATCATTTTCTAGCAGTTTAATTAGTATTTTTAAAACCATTTCTCCTATCTCTTTAACCCATTCCATGTAAAAAGTACCTTCAGGAAGAAAAACAAAAGGCCGGGTACTTACGTTTGAATAAGCGAATAATTTATAGCGTTTGCTATTTCTTCCGTTTTTTAAAGTTTGCAATCATATAATTCCAAATTTAAAGCTACTGTTTATTTTATAAACATAATACTGTGGACTCAAATTTTTTTGCTCCTCCGAAATGATTTTTAAGAAAATCAACACTCAACTTACCAGTCTTTATCGGTTTGAAAAAAAAGTAATTGAACCAGAATTGCTCACACCGTGTGTAATTGGTCTCGAATGGATTACAACAGGGTTAATTTAAGGGAAAAACTACCTTAAATTATTCCAGAAATCGAATTTTTCTTTTCTTTTTAAATCATAAAAGAGTGAGATGTTTGCTTGTTCTATATCTCTATACTTTTGGGGGTTTTCCTAGCTTTATGCACCTTTTGAAAACTGATGTCTGGTCATGCCTCTCCCACCAGCACCACTGTATGTGGCTAAGACAAGTAGTACAATTGAACTTTTAAATTGAAGCTGATTACTAATCAAAAAAATAAAATAATATTTTTAAAAACCACGTTTTTTGTAGTGGAGAATAATAATTAAAAAAACAAAAATTTGAAAAACGAAAAACATGGGGAGCATGAAATACATAACAGTAACAGTATGTGTATTCATGAGAATATGTGTATGTATATCTGTAATTGTATCTGAATGTGGATGTGTATGTGGTTGTGCATGTATGAGTAAGAAAATGTGTATATGTACTGTTATGTATTTCATGCGCCCCACGTTTTTCGTTTTTCAAATTTTTGCTTTTTAATTATTATTCTCCACTACAAAAAACGTGGTTTTTAAAAATATTATTTTTATTTTGATTTTTTTGTACTCACTTCCAAAATCTCAATTTTTTCACTCACTGTACATAAAACTTTTCAACTGACATGTGACACTAATTTGAAATAATCGAATCGACAACAAAAGACAATCGCGAAAATATTAATTTTTCTTCAATTTTAATTTTAATTTTACTTTGTATGTCTTCTTTCTCTTCATTTTCATGCATTGTCATCCAATTCTGAACTGTGTGACAGATTTGAAGTCTGTAGCTAGTCGGGAAGTTAGTTTAAAATCGATTACAAAATTCCACCCGAACAGACATACCCGAAGGCAAGTTGATATAAACGTGGTAAAATAACGATAATATCATGCACAGAATTTAGTATGCATCTTAATTGGAGCATATTCGAAGTTATGAAATTAAAAAATTAAATACAGATCAAATATACACGTGGCCACAACAAATATTTGCATGTGATCACAAGTATGAGTAAATTACAGTTTGTTAATTTTTTTTAATTTATTTTATAAAAAAAAAAAAAATCAATTCGTGCCTTTCTTGAATTTTTTCTACCCCTAAATTGAGAGTTCTATTGCTATTCCTGCTTTCATCTGAAAATTTTTGGTTAAAAAACTATATTTTTTAGTACCCTTTTAATATTATAAAAGAGCTTTTTAAAACAATTTTATTCAAAATTTAAAAATGCAATAAAATGTTATCCAAAATTCAAAAACAAATCTGCATTTCGACTCTTAACTATGGTCTATTTTCTAGCGTTGTTCCGATGAAAAAATGAATAAAATCTCCGCAAAAAAAACAACCACTTTGCAACAACAACAATAATTATTCTTATATAGGGTTTTGAGAGCATGAGTTCGGTTTGTTTAGTGAGCTATCTCCGGTCTATATAAATAGACGTAAATACAGTTTGTTTCATTTTTATTGGCTATTAAAAACAGTGAAATTTCGAGCTTATTTTTATATTTCTTCGTCGAAATTAATATGTATAATAAAATTTTATTTATATAGATACTATCATGTGTATAAATATTTATGATAGCACTATTTATTTTATTGTTGGGAAGTATACTTTCATTCTTCTTTTGGCGCGATAAAGGAAGATTCTTGGCGATCTTCTCTCTCATTGTAGCCAACGAGTTTTTTCCTTCGAGCATTGTTGGTCATTGTGTCTTTAGTTCAGTCAAGTGTCGGACGGAGAAGTTACCTTAACTTTGACTTGTCATCGGGTGTAACTGAGTTCCTCTTTTTTTTATTAATCAACAATTTGTAATGCTGACGGGACGGAAAGTTGTCTATTTATTTTGTAACGAAATATTTATTGTTCCTAATTAGCTATGGAAGAAAAGAAATGCCTGCAATCAGAGTCCGAAAAGTAAGCGAATTATTTGTTCTTCAGCAATTTAGTGAATGAAAAATGTTAAAACTGTATGAATTCATACAGGTGATTGCTATGCAAGTTAATTATTTTCACCGTCAAGTGTTAAAAATTTAATTTAGTAAAATTCTGTATAATAAAGGTAGTTTAGAAATTAGTATAAAAAAATGCATGTTTTCAAAACTGCCGTTTTTAATATCTTAATTTGATTCAAATTAGTTCAAATAAGTTTACAACGAATTTTAACGCAGTATGCGTATTCTTTTGCAAGAAAACCTTTATTATTATAGTATATATTTTGAGCAATTTAAAAGCTAACGGAAAATTACTTGTCTATATAATTACAAGAGTTATTTAGAGTTGAAATTGTTATCAATCTATGTTAAAGTATTTAAGAACTTTATCTTATTTTTCGGGAAGAAATTTAATCAAATTCCTTATTTTTACCTCTAGGAATAAGTTTTTCTAGTTAAGTTATTTTCTGCAATTCTTTAACTTTTTTACTTTTAAATTTCTAAATATTTTTTCCAAATCACTTGATAGAGTTAATGTAAGTGAAACTGGTTTGTTTTGCGGCGAAACAATACAAGTCAGTAAACTTTTTCTCGTCGAAGGAGTTCAGAAGGTTCATAAAGGAGTTAAAAAAATGAGCTTAGTTTTCGTAGTTGTGCATTTTCAGAATAATAGATTTAAATTTAGATTGTTATATTAAATGAATCGTAGGAAGACACTTTTTTGACTAAAATTCTAATTTTGTTCTACTTAGGTAATTACTTTTGAAATGTAGAATGCCTTTTTTTTTTAATTAAATATTTTCTTGAAATTAAATTTGTTGTAAATAATTAATTTGAGAAAGTGTAGAAGACTTTTCTTTTTTATTCTTGCGTTTCGAATATTTACTGGTGGTAAGTTAATTATCAAAATCTGTGTAATTTGATATTAACACAAGGGTAAAGTACGTTGATACTTTTTTTAGTGAAAAATCCAAAATTCCACAAATTACTATTAAAACTAATCCAAAATCTCATACTATTAATGATACTAATTATAATAGTTTTTTAAGAAATTTATAAAATTTTTTTTTATAAAATGTAGAAATGAGTTTTTAAATTTTCACCTAAAAAGGGAAAAGAATAAATTGAAAACAAATTGATGCATAATATAGCATATAGTGCACCACTAAAAATGAAATAAATTCATCCAAGCTGCATAAAAAGCCTATAGGTGCAACAGGTCCGGTTTAGAAGTTAAATGGTGAAGTTTAGAAAATGTTCTAGTTGTACGAAATGTTAATATGAACTTTCATAAATTTCTCGGAAACTTTTTCTGAAAAAAAAATTTTTTTTTTCTTTAATTTTTCTTACTTTTATTTAACTAAATAAATTTAATAATGAAAGTATTACAAATATTTGTATGATTGCTTGATAAGGAATTCTTATTTTTACTTACTAGATTAGACAAAGCACTTTTCATAGCACAAATTATACTAAATTATATAGTTTTTTATAAAACATATAAATACTGAATTATTAGTTATCAACAAAATTAAATGACGAAACTATATTCTGAGCTATGTATACCTAGAATTGTTAATTTTTTAAATCGCCATTTTATAGTGCTTTATGATAATATCTGATAAATATCTAATTCTCGCACATTCTTTTTCTAAATTACAGATTACTTGTAGCTCATAAATGCACGTGCAAGGTATTTTTTTTTTACTGAGAAGGGATAATTTATTAAATGAAATGCTAATTTTATTGAATTGTAACTTTTTTGTTGTTGCATAAAATAAATATTTTTCCCAACGAATAATTCGAATTTTACGAATATATAATTTATGCATAATTTACGAATATATTACTTGTTGGTGCCTCTCTCGGCTTTGTCTTCGTTTATCTTTTAATTTGGCGAAAAGAAGAGCTCTTGTAGTTTTTTGTTTTGATATCGTCGGATGTCCTTAAAATGGCGTCATTCATCGTTTCATTAAATTGTTAAATAGTTTTCGTTTGTTCTTAATCATTAGTAATACAGTCCGCATATCGACCCCCTCAACATTACTAATATTTAATTACGAATATTTTCGAACGAATAATTTTCCTCAATTATAGTTTTGATAAAAAAATTTTTCCTTTGAAATATTCACAGGAAAACTGCAACGCTTTCCGCATATTAAACAATCGGGTTCTTGCACTTCAAGAAGACCTCCCATACCCAAACATGTGACCTATGACGTCAGCGCCAGCAAATCTTTATCAGCAAAATAGCGTATTAAAGTTGAGCTAAGTTTCTCTACATAAGTTAGAAAGTTAATTAACGATAAGTTAATTAAATACAGAGCCGTATGGCACATAGAATTAGTTGAAATATAATTCTTGTCCTCTAATTCTTTTACTTAGATTTATTATTTGTCTGTGCTGCCATCTAGTGTGGCAGAAACTAGACGTCCAAATTAACATGACCAACGGTATCTCACCCATTGTGGTGGTCCTGAAGGAGCGGATACCACTTCAGGAGAACGCACTAGGTGTGCTCATCGGGAAGACTGATTGTGCAGCTCATAGGAAATAAAAAATGATTTGTTTACGTATTTTATTGTAACTGTTATATATTTTTGTTTTGTGTACCTGACAACTTCGATGCATTAGTTTATGCTCCACTTGGCTTCGTGACTATGTTAAGTCTCTGCGTAAACATATAGTGAAAGAATTGAAATCTTTTTCCAAGAATATAGAATGTGTCACTTAAGAGAATTTATACTTGACGGGCTTGGCTTACTCGACATAGTGGAAAGAACTAACGTAAACAAACGCCACGTTTCAACAACCAATCAGGATCGAGATACCCACACTACGTCACTTGCAGGTATCCCATTTCCCCCGCTAAAATTTATAATTTGTAGAATATATTTAATTTGTAGAATAAAATTTAACGAATAACGCAGTAGAGAAAATTTTAGATCACTGACCTCCCCTCCTAACATCTTTTCTAGTTCTGAGAGTTAAACTTACATTTGAATCGAAATAAGCATGAAGTATAAAATTTAAGTTTCTAAATTTTCATTTTAATGCATAAAAGAATATATTTTAAGATCTGGTATGCTTCCAAATGTTGTTTTTAATAGACAAGTATTAGATGAACTTTTGGTCATTTCTGTGACATTGGTTGTTATATGAAGTTTTGTTATTGGTATATCGTTAAAAATTTAAATTGTTAAATATGAACGAATATCAAAAACCCGATCAGTGTCTTGCTTCGTTTACTGATGAAATAAAATGCTTTAACCCCAAAGAAGTTATAAGGTGCCCGATGGTCAATTTCGATGTATGTATTTTCATACAAAAAAAGGCGAAAAAAGTGAATGGCAGACTTTAATTTCTAACGATTGTTTTCTGGGAATAATGAAAATGTAAAAAAATTAATGTTTCATTGCTATTAAAAAGCAAAGTATTCACAAATGTTTTACAAACCATAATATTTTATAAATGTTACTAATGTAATATTGATTGGTTTTTTTACTAATTATTCTGCTTTTTAGGCAATGTTTTGAGAATTGTAGTTTCATTTCATTTTTTCAGCGTGATTAGAAAGTTTTTTTTAGAAAATAGTGAAGCCAAACTATTTAAAAATTATTACCCAGTTAAATAAAAATAGGCTAGTCCTAGAATCTCAAAAAATGTGCAGTATTTGTTTTAACCTTATTTGTCTCAGATTCCATTTAATCAAAATCGATTTTTAAATAAAAATCACTTTGATTCGGCAAGGGAGAATGGTCGCCATAGTGATTTTTGTAGCAATCTCTGGGAAGATTTTACATAAGGTCACTTACCTGAGGATTATTCCACCGACCTTCAAGAGCTTTTATTTTGTTCTTTTTGATATTTTTTCATCGATTCAAAATTGCCAGTTATTTACGTTTAAAGTGTATTTGAACTAAGTCCTAAACTACAAGTTTTGATGCCAAAAGTTTCAAATTTCAAGAGAAAAAAATCATTTTTATTAAACTATTCTAAAGGAGTAAAAAAAATTCAATTTTTTTAATTGAGTCAATTGTTTTCCAAATAAAAAAAAAAAAAAACAAATTACATCGATGATTTAAGCGTACTTGAAATGCACCCTTCCCCCTTGTGACTACTTCACTTTCTTTGAAAGTTTTTTAAAATTTAACCTTAAAATTCTAATGGAATTTCCAAAGCACTTATGAGTTCTCTGACTGCTTTTATAGTTTTTGTGTTAAGTGATAAATCCAAATTGTTAATAACGCGTTTTCAGATCTGCGTGCTACCATTTTGTTAAAAAAAATTGTTTTCTTTGATTACAATCCTACGTGCAACAGAAGCTACACGTTCTATTTACATGATTAGAGAAATCAAATGAAATTTGAAGTTTAACTTCTCTAATTAGGAAATCCAATTAGGGAAATTTTGCTTTGAGTCACACATTTGTTTAGTTTTTAGACATTTCTTTTTAAATATTTTTAAAAAGTAAGCTTTTTAATGTTATGAAATTTTCGTTTCAGAAATTTTCTTAGACCAAAAAAGCATTGTTTTTTTAAAAAAAAATTCTTTGTCTAATTATTTATTTTCGTGGCAGAATAATCAAACAAAAAATTTAAATATTGTTTTATTTGCATGGTTTATTTGCTAATCATTTATAGTCCGTGTTGGACTTCGTGATAAAGTTTGTCGCTGACATTAAAATCAACCTTACACTACTATTTGGGATTTTGGTAAAAATTAGTACTTTTTAAGTTTTCCATTTTATAACGTATACGGTGAAATTGAACTAGTTTCAAAATCTTAAGATAAATTTTTATTTTTGAAACAAAACATGCTAATTACAGATTGTGAATTGCTTGCTTTTTAAAAAAAAAATTTTTTTCAGTAAAGTTGCAGTAAAGTCTTAATAATGTAATGAAATGTAAGGAATGCAACGATAACTTTGTGATTTATTGTATTACGGTAACAGTAAATCATGAAGAACTTCCAGAGAACTTT